TTAAAGTGGACCCCAGTAAAATATCTGCCATCACCGAGTGGAAGGTTCCAAGGAATGTTCGTGAAGTGAGAAGCTTTCTAGGATTAGCTGGATACTATCGACGATTTGTTGAAGGTTTTTCCTCGATCGCAACTCCACTTAACAAACTTCTCAGAAAGAATGTGAAATTCGTATGGACCGATGCATGTCAGCAGAGCTTTGAGAAACTAAAGAAGTGTTTGACAGAAGCGCCTGTACTGACACAACCGGTACCAGGTGTAGACTACACAATCTTTAGTGACGCATCTCATAATGGCTTGGGATGTGTACTTATGCAAGACGGAAAGGTCGTGGCATACGCATCAAAGCAGTTGAAACCTCACGAGCGTAACTATCCAACTCACGATCTTGAGTTAGCAGCAGTTGTATTTGCTCTGAAGATATGGCGTCATTATCTCTTTGGAGAAACGACATATATTCACACAGATCACAAAAGTCTGAAATACCTGCTAACTCAAAAAGAGTTAAACCTGAGACAAAGAAGATGGTTAGAATTGATCAAAGACTATGATTGTTACATCGACTATCACCCTGGCAAAGCTAACGTAGTTACAGACGCATTAAGCCGAAAGATGATAGCCGAACTCCGAATTCAGCCCACCCTTGAGAACGAAATTCACGTTGCACAAAAATGTGATGACTACTGTTTGAAGACTTGTGAACTTGTCTCTAAGGGGGAGAGACAAGATTTCACTATAAAAGATGGAATTTTATTCTACAGGAATCGTTTGGTAGTACCTAGTGGCGAAGTGAGGAAACGATTAATGCGTGAGTCTCATGAAACCACATATACCATGCATCCTGGCAGTAATAAAATGTTCCAAGATTTAAGAAAGACATACTGGTGGCCCACAATGAAGCGAGAAATTTCTGAATTCACTACGCGATGTCTGACATGTCAACAAGTCAAGGCTGAACACCAAGTTCCAAGTGGATTGTTACATCCACCTACTATCCCTGAATGGAAGTGGGAACGGATTACGATGGACTTCGTGATCGGACTTCCCTTATCAACCAAGAAGAATGATACTGTCTGAGTAATCGTTGACCGACTAACCAAGTCATCTCATTTTATCCCAATGCGACGTGATATGTCCTTGAAGAAATTGGCAGAATTGTACATCCGTGAAATCGTAAGATTACATGGTGTACCTTTGTCTATCATTTCTGATCGTGACCCACGATTCACGTCAAAATTCTGGAAGAGTTTGCAAAAGGCTCTGGGTACTAAACTCAACTTTAGTACAGCATTTCATCCACAAACAGACGGACAATCTGAAAGGACAATTCAAATTCTTGAGGATATGATGAGAGCATGTGTAATTGATTTTGGAAGTAACTGGGAACAATACATACCGCTAATGGAGTTCGCCTATAACAATAGTTATCAAGCGAGTATCCAAATGGCCCCGTACGAAGCCTTGTATGGGAGACGTTGTAGAACCCCAGTATGCTGGACAGAATTAAGCGAGCAAAGACTTGAAGGACCTGATCTCATCCGCGAAACTGAAGAAAAGGTTCGTCTAATTAGAGAAAGATTGCAAGTGGCTTCCGATCGTCAAAAATCGTATGCTAACTTGAAACGTCGAGAGATCGAATACAATGTTGATGACAAAGTGTTTTTGAAAGTCTCACCATGGAAGAAAGTGTTACGGTTCGGTAGGAAGGGAAAACTAAGTCCGAGATATATTGGCCCCTATCGAATCACTGAACGTGTGGGTCCAGTAGCATATCGGTTAGAACTTCCACCAGAATTGAACAAGATCCATGACGTATTCCATGTATCGATGTTGAAAAGATATCGTTCCGACCCATCGCATATTTTGACTGAGGGAATTGTAACTCTTGACGAACAATTGACTTATGAGGAGGAACTAGTACAAATTTTAGCACGAGAGGTCAAACAATTGAGAAACAAATCTGTACCCTTAGTCAAAGTGCTATGGAGAAATCACTCGACTGAGGAAGCAACATGGGAAACCGAAGAGTCAATGAGAATGCAATATCCAAATCTCTTCAACCAATGACTCAGGTAATTTCGAGGACGAAATTATTTTAACGGGGAGAGAAAATGTAACGCCCCGAAAATAGGCCTATCAGTATTAATTAATTGATAATTAATTAATTACTGATAAGGACCCAAAAATAAATAAATTTTAAAGTTTGTCAATAAATAATGAAAATTATATCAATGTGTAGAGTTTGACTGTCTGATCCCAATGGTTCAATCGGATTTCAATTTGGAGAAATTTAGACCAAAAAGTGTACCCGATTGGGACCAAAATTAGTCCCAATCAGGGACTTACGTTTGCAGCCCGTAGAAATCGCCGCTCCCTCCACTGAGACGCCACAACAGTAGCAACCATGTCTTCATGCCATTGCTCCTTCCTATTTAAACCCCTCAAAACTTCACCATTTCTTCACCTTTCTCCTTCAAATAAACTCTGAGAGAAAGCTGTGAGTGTGGAGAACGAAGTTGTGCTGTCAATTTGGTGTGAAGTCGACGGAGCAAGCCACAATCCTT